TTATGTATCACAGTAAAAAGAATATTCTCAGACATTGACTCATCAAAATTATAATAAACTGGTTGTTTCCATGCTTTAAATAATCCGCGAGCCATAATAAATTGACAGGTTTTATGAGATCCATATATTTTTTGTTCCTTTCGTTGGAGATCTAACTTGTTTGATATATATATCTCGTCAAATGTTAATACAGTTAATTTTTCTATTATATTTAGAGTATGTCCTTTTTTTCTCATAATGTTTAACACATCATTTAAAAAGCCGGGTAATACTTTAAATTCAGCGCACCAATTTCGCAAAGTTGTTATGCATGGCAATGGCATTTTTTTAACAACTCTCAAGTACCGATAAGTTTTTGGACTTAATGATCTCAACGATACTGCTGATATAATGTCTTCTGATGACCATTTTACTCGTTTTTTCGATGTTAACATGTTTATTTGTCCATGCGTAAACACTTTTTGCAGTATCTTGTTCATTNTTTGTTTTTCTTTCTGTTCTGCTAAAACAGCCTCAGATTTTTGTTGTAAAATTGTTTGCAATTTACTTATTTGTGCTTCTAGTTGCTGGTTTTCTTGTTGTAATTTATTATTTTCTTTAAATAGCTTTTTTTTATCTTCTTCTGATTTTTTATACAATTCTAGTAATGTTTCCGTAGACATTTTTTGTCGATCAACTGTCTCTTTATCTCTGTAAAATATAATCATTTTTGGAGTTATTAAAACAATAATTATTTTCTAAAATGCAATATTATATACTATTTAGAATCAGACAATTATACGTACTGTTCTTGGTTCATTTCGATATCATTGTTGATATTAGATGTTCTTCGTTTTTCATCTAGTTGTATTTGTTCAGTATTGTTCAATTCTGGATTTGTCCGTATTCTAAACAAAGAAAACATGTTTGAGATTAATTAGATCTGTATATTATTGATGAAAAATATATATAGTAATAATATATATAGNAAACATCAAAATATATATACTTACAGTGCTTGTGTTTTTTTTGATGTACATAATTTTTCTTTTCTCTGTTTTGTTAAATATAATAATTTTGTGGGAATGGAATTTGGCTTTAATCGCCTTAATATTTTTCCTGTTTGAGACTTTGACTTCTTCATTTCAAAATATCTTTCATCAAAATGTAGATTACATATTCTTGCTATATATATAGATACCANAACAAAAATTTATCAATATAAATATTATATATATAACAGCAGTATCTTATAAATAAGAAATATGTATATATATATATACAAATATCATCTTACCACACTCAATGTTTCTATTTTTATTTAATTTACATGCATCAATCCATTGTTGTCTGATATCCAAATCTTTTGGAAATGTATAAAACGACAAATTTTTCATTTCTGATTTAAAAGTCCGACTTTTACAATACCGAATACAACAAGTCGGCATTTTTCTGTTCGAAAGGAAAAAATAGAACAGATCAAATAATAAATAACACGATTCTATGCAGGTTACACCATGATTCTATGATTGACAGTATCCACTACGTTGCCGCCATATTGCTTTACGATTTTGGCCAAATCTCTGATTGGTTGCTACTGCGCATTTTCGGAATAACTCACCTGTTATTCTTACACCATGCACGCTTCCAAGTTGGGTTGAACAGCTCTGACAACCATCTGGGCGCCTCGTCTAAGTGTTGCTTTCAGTTGCGGAGCAGTTGTCGTCGGGCCTGGCGCTCCGAGTCGGCGAATGCCTGCCCCAGACCTCCTGTTTCTAGGCTCTTCTGCAGCAATGCAACTCGGCGGTTATATTTTATCGAGATTAATCCCAGGCCTCTGGGCAGAGCGGCTTGGATCACCGCGTTGTATCCGAGGTTACAGTAGCGGGCCCAAACCTAACTTGTGCGGGATCCCGCGGTACATCTCTTTGCTGAACGGTAATCCGTATTGATCTATATATCGAATCTTCCTGCCGCGAAAGTTATTGAGAATGCTGCGCAAATAGGGCTGCACCCTGTGACGACTCAGTGCCCACCCTATACTGTCTCAAAGAAGAAAGTTGAAGGCGTTGGAGATATCAAGGAATACTACTAACGCTCTCTTTCCTTGCCTGATCGACACGTTTGTGAGGGATTTTAGTCGAGTGATTGCGTCCACCGTGGACTGTTTCTCACGATACTCAAACTGACAGTCGGGACTTACCCGCGACAGGTGTCCGGCGAAGTGAGCTGCAATTATGCGCTCTAAGAGTTTGCCCTTTTGTCAAGCAAAACCTTAGCTTATGTAATATTTTTTTACAAAGGAAAATGCCTACGCACCTCTATCTCTGAGAATGAAGGCGAGATGTATGGGACTCGCACTTACTAAAACCTCTTGGAAGCCTACCTCGGGAGTGTAATAAAAAAGGTCTCTGGCAAACTTTACGGCTATTACTTCCCAAATGTCCTCCTCATCTTCTGCTAAAACAAACTTGGCTTTTTTTCCGGCCAAAGCTATATGTGCCTTTAGTGGTGAGAGAAAGGGCTACAACCTTTTCTTACCACTCCTCTCTGGGACTTGTGCAATGATAGGAAAAGTCCCCACTCTTCCCGCCTGAGTTCTCTTGTGGCCAAAACTAGAAGGATGATCTAGAAGGTCCGTCCCGGCTCTCGATCAAGTGGCCTTTTAAGAAAGCCAGTTCTTATAAGGTGCAGGCCCGACCTTGCACCCGTGCCCCTATTTGCCTGAAGTCAGAGCCTTCAAACTTTAACTGGGCTCCGAGAGCTTTTCTCCAGGTCTCCGCAACTGCTTCTGTGCGGGAAGTTTCTTTGTGAAGCTCCCCCCTACCGATTTGACAAGCAGCAACTAGGTCTATCGATCTTCGTCGACGCCGCTTTTGCCTGGATACCAGCTGGAAGCTGACTCCAAAGCTGAGTAGCTCCAGAAAGACGAGAGGCGTGGCCTTCCTTGGTTCCTGCAGCCTGCGTCGAACTCGACGCAGACCCAGTCCGCAGTGCCTTCTCCATGAGTGCTGCCGAGGAAGGGGCCGAAATTCCCGTATCCCGACGACGCGCACCACGCTGCGCCGGGAAAGGGCGGCATAAACGCTTTCTTATTCAATGCCCGTCAGGCTTTCCCAAGCTCGCGCAAAGCGCGCACTTGGGAGAAGTCTCGCTTTGACAAAGAACACACCGTCCTGTGGCCCTGCATTGATAACACAAAGCTGATCGGTCCACAGCTTCCGTGCAGAGGCGCGCAGTGTGGCCAAACCTAAAACATTTGAAGCACTGAAGACGGCGTGTTTTCAGTGCTTCCACTGAGTACGTAACTCATTCGATTCTTAGTTTTCTTGCTACGGCTATTTTTACGGGCTTTCCCAACAGGAAAACGAACCCACAAGGATTCCAGTTCTGCCACGGCCTGGCGGACCACGCCAGTCCACAGTCCACTACGGCGGCAGGCACCCGCAACGGCGAGTGCCTCCGCCACATTCTCAGTGGTGATGTGGTTCACCAATCCACACATGCGGAGTTCCATGTATTTTGTGAGCTTGGTGGCCCTTACCTTCTCCTGCCCCGCAGGAAATCAAAAGATCCGCCGTCTATTGAGATCCAGGACCTGAGACCTCATACAGCAGATTTCCGTTCAGGCTTTTTTCATCCGGAGGTCTGTTATCCCCAGCTCATTGACGTCTATAGCCATTGCCTCGCGGACAACAGAGGAGTGCGTCCTCTCATCGACTATATCCGCTGTTAGAAAAAGAGCGGCTTTCTCTGGTACTTGGTCAAGTCCCGCCGTTTTTCTCGTGGCCATCGGGAGCGGGGAACGATCTCCAGCTTCTATCTCCGAGCTTTGCCTGTCGTCGGGCTCGGCACCCGACAATCTTGGCCCACAACGGCTGCAGCGGAAAACTTTTCTCCTCAAAGCGGCAAGACGCTCCTCCATCCTCTGGTCTATTAAGAGACGGGACCTAGTCTCCTTCAAAGACTCTACAGAAATCTCCGTTTCCACCTGGGCAGCGACATCGCGCATACCTCGCAAAGAGGGAGGAAGGCGCGATGCACGCTCGACCGTTTCCTCTATCTGCTCAATTTCTTCAGTCATTCCATCGCGGTTTTGCTCGAGCATCGTCATGTTCCGTTCTATTCGTCCCAGCTTACGCTGGAAGTTTGTCTTGTCGGGAGCGGTGCACTTGGACATCGTTCAATTAGACACACAGTGCAATTGGACACGGTGCATTTGGACACAGAAAGATGCGCACCTTTTAATTAGACACCGTTCAAATGC